ACTGGTGTTAATCTTCTATGTTTGTCTATTTTCCACTGGGCAGTTCGTGTTATTGTGGTCTTCTTTATCTGCTCCTGACTGGGCGGGATGTTCATCTCAATGTTTCGCTGTCCTACAGCAGCCTTGGCAGCAGCATCAGCTCGTTCATTCCCTGGGATTCCGATATGACTGGGTACCCAGTTAATGATAACTTGCCGGTCTTGTCGTCTTAACCCTTGCAGTAGGCCAACAACGGATGTTATGAGATGAATGTTGTCTCTAGGCTCTCTGCATTGTAGTGCTTCAATAGCACATAGTGAGTCAGTGTGTATTACAACGCCTTGTTGACTGTTTATGGAAGCGTGTCTTAGGGCTCCAAGTATGGCAGCTAGCTCAACTTGCAAAGTGGAACAGCCATCTGAGGATCTCCAAAGGACGTGTTACCTCCTTCTTTGGTGAAGGCTGCTCCTGCCTTCGTACTGGTGGGCTCTTTGGAACCGTCTGTGTAATACACTGTACTACTGTGTGGTGTTAGAGCCTTCATATTTCTCTCTGCTACCCGTCGGAGCTCATGTGGGTTAGAGTCGGCCTATCTTGTCCCAGTTTGTAGAATGTTGAAGACTGCTGGCGGGGACTCCCACGGTGCTGGGTGCTGTAGTCTGGACTCATTGTATCAGGTTCTTTACTGAGGATTGTGTCTTTCAATTCCAGTCGATTTACAGCGTCAGCTGCGCACAATAGCCATGTTTTCTTGTTAAAGACATCTCTGTTAAGGTTCAGTGCTCGTAAGAGTCCATTCTTGATGTCACTTTCCCGAGCCCTGGTAATCAGTTTTGTTGCAAAGCACGCTGTTAATCGTTCCGTCCTGGTTTGGAGAGATGTGAGACCTGTCTCCATGTGTAAGTTTTCAATATTTGTCCACATAGGTGCTTTGACAATGACTCTCATAGCGTTATTCTGGGCAACCTCCAATTTCTCCCACTGCCACTCAGACACTGTGTTAAGAGCCGGTGTCGCATAGTCTGTTAATGAGCGAATGGCGTGTATATATAGCGTTGTTAGGACTAAATGTCCCGCACCCACCTTGGGTCCTGTCATGGCTCTCATCATGTTGACTCTCTTGCCCATTCGGTCTCTTAGATAGTTTATCTCAGTGTCAAATTTGAGGCCTTTGTCAATCCAGATGCCCAGGTATTTGTATACATCGACCCAGTGTAGGGCAATACCTTGTATTTGCAGCTGTGTCACCGGCTCATTGTGTCCAATTCTCATGGCTTTCGATTTTGGGATTGATGTCTTGAGCCCGAGACTCATACATTCTTCACTGATGAGGTCTAGTGCTCTTTGGACTTTGCTGATTTGGTTTCTGCCTTTTACTATCAGTGCTAAGTCGTCAGCATAGCATAGCAGTTTGGTACCCTCTTGAAAGGGGAGCCGACACACGTTTTCCATGAGGATGTTGGAGAGTTGGACAAAGAACTCCTCCTTGTGGTGCGCCATTTCCCAGTCTTTGGTGATCTGAGACTTGTCCTTGACAGGTAACTCTTGCTGTTCTGTTTTGGAGATAGTCGGCCAGTAGGCATCCCTTGACGCCATTCCGAGCGAGAGTGGTTACAATGGCCTGTGCATTTGCCAGCTCAAATGCTTTCTCTAGATCAAGGAATACTACGATTGCCTTATTTTGACCAATCGATCCCAGGAGAGTGGCCAAACTGTGTGCAGTGCTGACACCTTTGGTGAATCCAAAGATATTGTGGTGAAGTGGTCCAGTTTTCCAGAGGAGTCGTGTAAGGACCATCCTTTCGGCGGTTTTGCCGATGCATGCTGTTAGTGATATTGGTCTGAAATTCTGGGGATCATTGGGTTTCGGAATGGAAACAATGTTTGCCCTGACGGGAGTTTGCCTGCTGACCATGATGCGTTGAAAACTGTTAGAAGAGCAAGTTCACCAGCAAGTCCTGCATTGCTGAGCAATGAATAGTTTATACTGTCACTGCCAGGGGCGGTGTCTGCTTGTTTTCCTGGCCCTTCTGATTTCTTCTATAGTAAACAGACAGTCTGTAGTGTCAGTTTGTTCAATTGCATGTCTGACCATTTCTTCTCTCTCCAGTTGTACTTGCTGTAGATGAAGTCTTATTTCAGGAGGTAATTGAGCTGATGACAAGCGTTCTGCAAAGTGCTCTGCTAAGCGAGTTGTAGTGGCTGGAGTTCTGGGCAGTTTTCCTGTTGCTATCCTGAGTTTTCTCCAGAGTTCACTCAGACTGGTGTGTGCATTAAAGGTTGCACACCACTCGAGCCATTTGTCTTCCCTAATTTTCTGAGCATGTTGGACAGCAGCTCTCAAGAGTTTCACTCCCTCAGGGGAAGGGTTCTGTCGGAAATGTCTTCTGAATGTGTTGATTCTGTGATTCTGTTCTCTGACCTCGTCATTGTAGAACCGGTAGTCTTTGTGGTGTCTATTGGTAGGGTTTGTTTTTGGTATTGCTTCCTCTGCTGCGTGTATGATCCTGGTTTAGTTGGTCAATGTGATTTGTTGCAAGGGGCTTGAGGTTTTGTTAGGGTAAGATACATTCACTGATTTTGCAGGAAAGAAATCACTACTGAATGTATCCGATAAAAAACCTATGAACATAATTATTTTTCTAAGAAAAAAAATGCTATACCACTGTTAATTTTTACCCCCCTTTTTATTCGGGTTAATGAGCTTAGATTGTGTTAGGTATTATTTAACTTTGAGTCATGGGAACTTCTTGGATACTTGGCAGACTAGCTTGTTATAACTTGGTCCTAGCCATACCAAGAAGGGGGAGTCGAGGTAAAAATGTTCACTTGACCTCGTATTTGGCTTTCATTAGTGACGGATATCTACTGTACAGCTGTACCACATTAATAAGGTCTATCTGCAAGTTACTCAGTCATAAAAAATATTTGTAACGTAAATGTGGAATATAAGAATCTTCTATTTTGGTACAAATTACTTGAAAAGTTGTAAGAAGACAAAAGATGCGTCTCTTCCATTCCGCGACAAATATAAACACACTCAAGCCTCTTCTTGTAAAAAAAAAATTAACTAAAAAAAAGAACTGTAATATCGTTGATGTACAAAACAGTTTCTTCATTATTCGATGATAAAACAAGTCTAACAAGCTTTATTACGTCATACATTATTAATCCTTTTTATGCAATAGGGAAATAGCGACTTATTATATCCGGGTTGAGCATGTTACAGCACCTAAGGAGGTCCTGTAAGTTACGGCCTCGAATACGGACTCACTTACGGAGTCCACTAACAAACATTTGTTTTGAGTATACCGATCGGAGACTGTAACTCCACTTAGGGGATAAACAAGTCCCGTAAATGCTTTTGAGTATGCGGCCCCTGAACAGGAACTTGTCTACCAATCAGCTCCATCGTCAAAAGACTACTACCCATTCATTCATAAGTTTAGTATTGCGACCCTGCCATATGTACACAAATGTACATTTATACCAACCTTCCTTTATAGTAATATAGTAAACTGCAGAACACCCACCCTAATAAATAAAAGTGCCAAGAATGGTGATGATGAACAATTGAACAAGCAAATACTTTGCTTAACAGCCCCAGAAATTCACAGTCATTGGGGCAAAGCAGGGCTGAAAATTTTGCACTGAGTTGAGCTCTAGGATCACTGAAACAACCCGAGGCAACAAGCTTCTCATTACAGCATTACAGACCTCAGCAAGTAAGTGAATACTTTGCCCACAACCTACCGCTCAGCAGTTCCAAAAATTTCAACCTTGCTCAAACATCTGTAATATTCTGACTTCACAAGATTTATATTAAGAGGTAAATTAAAATAAAATACGAGTGGTAAGAATAGAAATATCTATAAGCAGCAAGTAGAAACTTTACACTTTATTTTCTCATGACTCTTCTATGAGCCTAAGAATCACCCAATCTGGTATACTCTCTATATTTACATTTCTTAACTCATTCTTTTAATTACATTTTATTATCGACTAACCCCCCAGCTTGATTATTTACCTCTCTGCCTTTCCTGTGACCTACCTATCTCCATGTTTTCATAACTACTAATATATCTACCTAAACTACTTGCACACTCATACTTAAATTAGTGCGTGGATATATATATATATATATATATATATATATATATATATATATATATATATATATATATATATATATATATATATATATATATATATGCACTAACTAACTTAAGTAACTACCAGTGTTCAAATATTAACTCTGAACGTACCATCAAGTGTAAACATACATCTCCTCAACCAGTGAGCGACCTGCCTTAATAAATCACGAAGAGGGATAATCTCAACTGTTCCTTGATTAAAATGCGAGGGAATGCATCTGAAATATTTACACGAGAGAATGAGCTAGCAGGGGTATGCTTTATTACGGTCCACATAAGCACACACCAGTAACATTATGTTAAATTTGCGTTTGTGAACATGTATACCGTATATTAGAAGTTATATATATATATATATATATATATTTCATGTAGATCCACAATGGAAACGTGGATTAGATAAATCTTGATAAAATCACACAGAGAAAAGGGAAACAATGATGCACCTTAGCTTTCGTTTTTATTCAAGACATCTTTAGAGACAACTGAATTACAAGGACTGAGAGAGGCTTATGTACACAGGGTGACCTTACAAAACATGAGGTCAGGTCAAAAACATGGTGATGGTCAGTACAAAATTGATATTATGTTACACAAATTTATTTGTCAGTGGTCCAAGATTAAAAATGCTTTGAAAGCATTTGAGGTAGATGTAGGATAGAAGATTAATGGGTCTCATATATTTTTTTACCCGACTTAACATGACTAGTTACGTCGCCCTTTCTTATAAGCTCCTCTTGTGTTTGCGGTGGTGGTGGTGTGTGGATTAGTGGATGACATGTTTTTGACCAGACCTCATGTTTTGTAAGGTCACCCTGTGTACATGAGCCTCTCTCAGTCGTGACGTGACCACATAAGGGGACAGACGTGCCCATAGGTGCTCTTGATTTCCCGATCGTCCCTCAGCCGGCAAGTTTTTGCCAGCATGGTGGGTCGACATAAACGTCCCAGAAGAGGCTCTCTCATGGACGCAGACATCTGATACAGATGCCATCGCCAACTCGCCTGGTCAAACTGATTCCAACACCCTTCAAGAGTCAGACCCCAGTGATTATGACTGTTATCGCCGCTGGCTTCATCTACAGTGCTGACGTTGCCTTACCCGAGCAAACATTACCCTAACGTGAACAGCTGTAACTCCTGTAATTTCTCTAGCATCTTCATTGCTTCCCGCTCAAGACTAAGTCAGTGAAAACTGTATCCATTTCCAAACCCTATATCACAAGCGAAATTAAGATAATGATAAAGGAAAAACACAAACTCCAAAGGAAATTTGCAAAAAGACCCATAACTTTCGGTGATGCTTACCGAAGTATCAGAAATAGAGTAACTCAAGCAGTTAGAAATGCCAGACGTAACTATTATACAAATAAGCTCCAGTCAGCATCAGGCGATAGTAAGAAAACCTGGAATATCATAAATTCTATTCAGAACAGGAACACTCAGCCTTCGGCCCCAAACTCAGCTTTTATGATAAACGATTCAGTTATAACGGAACCCTCCCTCATTGCCAACCACTTCAATGAATATTTTATTAATGTTGGGAAAAATCTTGCAGAGAGCATCCCTGATCACCATGAGGAATTTAGAGCCTACCTGCAAAACAGACAGCAAAATGAGCTGTTCTTGTCCCCTGTCACAGCAGATGAATTACTGGCCATCATAAAAATGTCCAAAGATGCAGCAGCAGGCGAAGACAATATACCAATGAGCATCATTAAGAAAGTGGCCCACTTATTACTACCTGTTCTCCTCCACATCTGTAACTCCTCCGTCACTAGTGGTGTCTTTCCTGATAAACTGAAAATTGATAAAGTCCACCCGGCATATAAAAAATCTGGGGACAAAGGTCTCTTCAAGAACTACTGCCCCATATCAGTCCTCCCAGCCTTGAGTAAGATACTGGAAAAGCGAGCATGTAATAGACTAAATTCCTTCTGCAATGCAAATGACATCTTTACAGACTCCCAGTTTGGATTTAGAGCTAGAAGGTCGACTGAGAGTGCTCTGCTATCTTTTACTAATGACATCTTAAATTCCTTTGATGACAGTCAATTCACAGTCTGTATATTCTTGGACCTCTCTAAAGCCTTCGATACTGTCGACCATACCATCCTCCTTTTAATGCTTGAACATTACGGCGTTAGGGGCCGGTCCCACAATTGGCTTACCTCATATCTGTCCAACAGGATGCAGTATGTCTGCTATAATAACCACCAATCTGACTCCTCGCCAATCTTGTATGGAGTCCCCCAAGGTTCAATTCTCGGTCCAGTACTGTTTTTGTTGTACATAAACGACATAGTCCACGCCAGCTCACTCATAAAATACAACTTCTTTGCAGACGATAGTAATCTCTACAGTATGCCAGTAACTCAGACCTCCATTCCTTGATGAGAACTATGAACACTGAATTAACTAAAGTCGGGACCTGGGTAATACGTAATAAACTGACCCTAAATCTTGAGAAAACCCACTACACGATCTTTCACAGAAGAAAAAACTTACCTCCAGACTTGAATCCCCTGTACCTTGGTAATATAGTCCTCAAACGCGAACAAAATATCAAATTCCTCGGAGAGTTATTAAGTTGATGAGAAACTTAACTGGAGAAACCACATACAAAGCCATTCACAGTAAAAATCAACAAACAGTGCGGCATCATGTATTACACTCGACAGTCACTCACTCACAGCAATGGTCGAAATCTATCATGATCTGCTTACCAACACCTGGATACACTGTCACACACTATGGAGGGCCTCTGGTCTCAAAACACACCCTGGTTACGCACAAAAGAGAGTTGTACAGACAATGACCTACTTTGAAAAAAACAGATCACACAAACGAAAGTAACTTGCTATATTGGAAATTTTTAAACTGAAGATATTAATGACTTACTGTTGTGCCCTCTTTGTTTTTCATAAATCTTGATTAACAATCACTTGCTGACAATAATTACTCCAAGTTCCGGAATAATCAGAGATACAACTTAAGGCACCTTAGAGCTACTAAGACCAATTTCATGCGCCTTCCTCTCAGTCCCAGATTCTCCATAAAATATCATGGTGTGAAGGTATGCAAGAACAATCTCAATTTCACCATTCGAGCAAAGACTACTTCCTTTCCTTTAAGTCATCATCTCTTAAAAATATCTATTATCGAAGCTATTAATATTTCGCAGTTGATTCTACTATATTTACAGCACCTGCTTTATTGTACCACCAAACTCGTTTTATCGTTAATTATCATGTGTAACAATGCAATTTCATTGCACAAATAATTGCCAGCTAGATATAATCCCAGTGACAGCTCTGTCCTCTTTGTTCAACCTTATTACTGTACAACCCAGGTTGTACCACTGCTCTCCACATACTTATGTTTTTCTCAATTCTCACTAATTTATATGTATATGTATGTATGTGTGTATATATATATATATATATATATATATATATATATATATATATATATATATATATATATATATATATATATATATATATATATATTTATATATATATATATATATATATATATGTGTGTGTGTGTGTGTGAGTATTTGCGTGTATAGGTATGTGTATATGTATGAATAAATAAAAATAAAATAAAAAAATAAAAACAATAAAAATAAATAAAATATTGAAGATAACCGTGGTAACACTAGTAGATGTACTTATTACTACCATGCTATTGTACTATTCCAGGTGATACTAAATGTTACATAATACTTCCTTGGAGATAAATGTATAGTATATATCAGGTGCCCTCAAAGAGAGAGCCTTCAGGTTCAACTGGCTGAGCCATGTTAATATTGTTATTATTATCCACTTGTATCTGTATTTTTCTGGCTAAATAAACTGTTACAATTCAATTCATCTAACTCAGCTCAGACTGATTCAGCCTCGGAATATGGCGCCTCCCCCACGCGACCTGTGACCTCGCCAGATGGCGGCTGGGGGCACAGTGCACAAGAAGCCCTGATTCTGCTGAGTGTATGGTTTTGTTATCGCCGCTGGCTTCAGCTACAGTGCTGGCGTGTGATGCCATTAAATCTTTCGACCTGTGACCTCGCCAGATGTAGAAGTGTTTACAGACAAGTCCTGGTTCTGCTGAGTGGACTGTCTTCGACTGGTGGCAGTGCTGCCCGCCGCCCCGCCATAAATCAGATCGCCCTCTCTAGTGATGCTGTGAAGACTAGCCTTCTGCTCGCACTGGTGAACACCGACTCACAATCCTGTCCGAGAATTTGTGCTGAGACAATTTACGCAGTACTGTTGTCTCTTGGAATACCATACTGATCTGCATTTACCCACACTTGTAAGTACAGCGTAAGTGATTACATACCCCTCGGTACTGAACTAGTGTCGACTAATTACGCCTACTCGTTTCTGCCTAACCAGGAGTAATAAGACAATGCAGAATGAAGCGAAGCAAGAGTTAGAGTTACGAACTTTGTGTGATGTCACTATGTTTAATAAATTGTAATTAAGATAAAATTGTGTGAGACTAACTAATTATGTATCAGATGAATCACCATGTAATATTATGAACATCTCCTCTGCAGGTTTTGTCCACATCAATAAATATTGAATGCGTCAAAAGGCGGGTTTCAATCATTCCCTTCGACTTGCCCGTCACCTGACGTCCTTAACCAAGGCGTTTACAGTGACGGCAATGTTTCTATGGAAAACACTAGCCAGAGTGGAAACACCAATGCCACGGACCCTATCACCCTGCCCTCTGCCAACCAGCCAAGTAAGCTGAATCTGCACTTCCCCAAGGACTCACTGAAAACCGTAGAGGAACGGTTTAATTGGATGATGAAGTACTTCAGACAACACGGTCTCAACATTCAATTCCGACAAGGTAAGAACCGGAACTTTATCAAGTGTCAGATTCCTGAGGTCTATGAAACACTTAGTACTGTAGGGTTTCAGGGGTTGTCCTGGTGCCCCCCCCCTCCTTCAGTAGACGCTGATGAATGTTGCCGCCTCCCTCTGCATCCCCTCTGTCCCCAGCAACACCTGCCCCTGCCTGGCCTCACCTGGCTGCAACACAGCAGTCCTGCCGTCTCCTAACTCAACTACTACTGGCCTCCGTCTCTACTCTGAAGCTGTCAGGCCTTGTGCTCCCACCGGTGCCCCCCACAACCCTCCAGTGACATGACACAGATCATATCCTCTTCCAAGAATTTACCAACACGTATTGAAAAACTCTGTTACACTCTGTACCACCATCTCCGACCTACTTGCCCTCTGCTGCCACCCAGTCACCCTCTTCTGGTTTGACACAAGCTGGTAGTCCCCTGTGAGCCCCTGCTAACGGCCTACCCCACCACCGTCTGCCATCATTACTGGTGTAGCGCCTACCTGGCCTGCCCTGGTGTGTCCTGCCGCCCCCCCAGCAAAGTCCTGCCTCATCTTCACGACACGTGGCGTCCGCTCCTGTGTCTGTGCTGTCTCCACCAGGGCTACCTATTGGACCTGAGGACACCACCCCCGGCTACCCGTACCCCACCGGCATGTCGACGCACACGCCATCACAATCACACTAAAAGGTATGTCCCTCAATATTGTCAATGCCTATGTGCCTCCCTCCACCCCTACTGTACCTGTCCCACCACACCATATCACCTCCACCCTCACTGTACTTTGCCACGTCTAGTACAATGGCAACCCTGAGCCTGACCACACTGTTTGTAAACTTTGTGGTCAACCCGACTCCCACACCCTCTCTCACTACAGCCTCATTTGCCCTATGACCTCCTCCTACAGGTCCCCAGCCGTTGCCAACACTTCTTCCCTCCCTGACCAGATATTCCTTCTCCTAGTGACAGGCCTGGCACTTGACATTATTAGGGGGAATTTTCCCCCACACTCATCATTCTGTCACTTTATGTAACTTGCTGACAAAACCCATGACCCTTCATGCTTTTACGCCCTTAATGCATGATTCATAAAGGCAAGCAAGAACTAAGCATGCTTCCCAGAT